TAAAACTCTAAAAATGCCTCCTTAACGCTATCTGGGTTAGTCACTCAAATACCATCCTACAAGATTCCTTTAATAGCCATCTGTTTTCCTTTTCTTTTTAGCATACCATGGAAGAAATTAGAATTCTTGTCTCCTTCTATCACCCACTTGACCTTAGCCTTTTGAACATAATCCAAAGTATCCGCCTTATCAATATCCGACACCTGTTGGAGAATATTCTTTCTCTCAGCCATGACATCATCTGAAACAACCCCACTATCAATCAGATTAATATCGAACAACCGATTAATACACTCTTTTCTTTGTTCCCCTTTCAACTTACGCATATCAGCTTGCCAACCCTTAATCTTGGCTTTAACGAATTTAAGTTTTTTCTTCATATTAATACACTTATTTAGATTACAATATGGACTAAAATCTCTAACCGCTTGAGAAACCACATCGGAAAAACAATCCATCTGAAGCCACGAGTTAAACAGCTGAAAAGAAATAGGACCATAACCATTCTGATTCTCCTTTAGAAGCACCGTGCAATGGTCTGACCACCTCCTATCCAATGCAATACAAGAGTTATTGGGAATAACATCTAACAAACTTTCAGAAATAAGGAATCAATCCAAACGACTAAGCTTAGCACCAGCCTTATCCACTCGAGTAAGAGCCCTTATTTTTACAAGGTTAACCCGAGTCAATCTGGTTTCTTGAAGACCAATAAAATTGACCAAATGACTATTACAAATCTACTTAACGCCCGAAACCAGGTGGCTTCGAGATACTATAACTACTCCTTTGATCCTCTGACTGCATGTTATCAAGGTCAATTCTCTTAGATGAACCGGAAGCAATACCCACCAATGGTACAGAAGCATTTGGAGGTTTATTCACTCACTAGTCACACATGACAAGCTTTTTGGGCTTTGCAAAAGATTTTGGGTGTGGGCTTCTTTCTAGTAAATTGTCACTTTTATTTATTTATTTATTTATTATTATTATTATTATTATTATTATTATTATTATTATTATTATTATTATTATTATTTTATTTATTTTTTATTTTTTATTTTTTAACTATCATGAATTTATGTGATTGTGATTATAAAAAAGCAAACCATTTTATGCTATTGTCCTTAAAATTGACAAAAAAAACGAGGGAGGATCATGGAGTTTAACGGATTAAATTAAAGCAAATCATGTATACGATCCATTATTACATAACTTTAGGTGTGAAATATAACACTAGTTAATCGAGAAAAATTGAAGTATATTAATAAAAAAAAGGAAATTATAAAGTTTACAAAAAATAGATTATCCACGCTATCTACTTTAAAGTATTAACACTATAAAGCACCAACAGACTTTGTTAATCCCATTAGAATGGTTAGGTGTATGCTAGATGTCAAAAGTCATAACTACATAGGAAAACAAAATTGCATCACACAGATGCCTCTAAAATATGCAAAAACTTACTTATAGATGATCCAAACAAAGGGGGACTAAGTCCAATCGAGCACCAAGACATAAATATGAGTGAAATAATAAATGAAGTTTATGGATCCGAGAACCTGTAAATATGGTAAAACGTTAAACAAGGGGAGAGTAACTTATTGCCATAATAAAACACACACAAGAGAAAATTGCAATACAAGCATAGGAGCAAGAATCAGATAACAACAATAAATATCATAGACAAAAGCTCTATGTCATATGCCACTCACTCATTAACCGTGATATTTAGTCTACACACTCCTATATGTAGTTTTTTTGTTTTTTTTTTTTTGGAACGGCAAAATGAATTAAAAGCTAGCGAAAACTAACAAAACCACAACAAAACAATTAGTTCATGACCGAGTTTTTCAACCAATCGGTCCAATTTATACTAGCCTTACAATTCATATCATAATACCAATTAAAAGAAAAAGAAACTCAAACAAAATTTCCTTTTCATCTTGTTATTCCCAAACACGATGTCATTTCGAAACGTCCACAACACCCAAAGCAAAGTAGAGCACACCGAATCCATAATTGACCTTTTAGAGCGCACTGTCATCAACCCATCAACCAACTGCAGCTGCTCTTCAACAGACAAAAACGAAGGGATATGAAGCTCCACCCACTTCGCCACCTTAAACCAAATTTGTAAAGCCATCGAACAAGTAAAAAATAAATGATTTATGTCCTCCCGAGCTTGCTGACAAACCGGACACAGAACCGAATCAATGTCTAACCTCTTTTATCCAAATTATACCTCGTAGGAATTCTATTTAGCACCACTCTCCAAATAAAAATGTTAACTTTAATAGGAAGCCACCTATTCCATCTAGTCGCCAAACCACCTGAAGGAAGAATAGCCTGATTCAATTGAAGACGAGTCTCTTTCACCGAAAACTTATCTTCAGAACCAAAGGACCAACGCCAAGAATCTCTTCTAGTTGAAAGATGTACTGACTACAGCAAATTCCTCAGTTGCAAAGCTTGACCAGCCAACACCCTACCATCAAAATTTGAATCCATTGAAACCTCCAATCTTGTCCATCCCAATAGTCACTAACCAAAGCACCAACATCACTAGCTACAACATAGAGCCTAGAAAATCTAGCTCTTAACATAATGCAACCACACCAAACATCATTCTAGAACCTAATACTTTGACCATTCCCGAACTTCCTACATATAGAGTCAAAAGGAATTAAGCCTCTATTATGCATATTCCAAACCGTATTAACAATCCCCATCCAAACTCCTTTCTTTGAATTGGATCGTGAAGCCATGCAGATTCCTCCATCACTCCCGTAACAACTTTTAATAAGATCCACCCACATAAGAATAGGGCTATTCAAAAACCGCCAACGCCATTTGTACAACAAAGAGTAATTAAACGATGCCAAGCTACCTATAGAAAGGCCACCATTTTTTATCATTTAAAACCATCTTCCATTTAATCCAGTGTAAAAATCTTTTTCTATCATCAGCTCCCCAAAAGAACCTAGCTCTAATTCTTTCCAAATCCTTAGAAACCAAGATATGCATCCGAAACATGGAAAGAAAGTAAGTGCCCAACCTCCTAAGCACCGAATGAACCAAAGTTAACCTGTCCCCAATAGATAACATCTTTGATTTCCATAAAGAAAGTTTTTTGCGAAGCCTAGTAAAAAATGAGTCCCACGCCAACTTCCTATGCATGAACTAACCAACAGGAAGCCCAAGATAAATAAAAGAAATAAAATCTGCACCGCACCCAATACACGCAGCTAACTGCGTAATAGCCTCCTGCTCAACACCAACTCCGTAAAATTTGGACTTATGCAAGTTAATCTGAAGCCCAGACACCATAAAGAAAATCCTAAGAATTCGAATTAAATTCTTAAAATTCTCCGCATCCCATTCTCCAATAAAAATAGCATCATCCGCATAAAACAAGTGTGAAATATGCAGATTCTGCTCTCAAATACAAACCCCTTTAAAAAGCAAATTGTGAATAGCATTCTCCATACACACATGTAAACCTTCCATGATCAAGATAAACAAAAACATGGATAGAGGATCTCCTTGACGAAGATCACACTCTAGATGAAACTTAGCTGTCGGATTACCAATCAAAAGGATAGATGACCTAGCAGACTACAGACAACCCTTAAACCACATGCACCATTTCTCCACAAATCCCATAACCTCCATAATCCTATCTAAATACTCCCATGAAACTGAGTTGTAGGCCTTTTCAAAGTCTACTTTAAACAACAACATTTTTTTCAACCTGGACCATCTAACAATTTCATTGACCATAAGATGCCTATCAAGAATCTGTATACCTTTTATAAAAGCAGACTGAACTGGATTGACTAAATAGTCTACCACCTTAGCCAATCGATTAGCCAATAACTTTGCAATTATCTTATACTGCAGCCCAATCAGACTAATCGGCCTGTAATCTTTAATCTCAGTGAGATTTTTAACTTTAGGGATTAACGTGATAAAAGAAGCGTTGCACCCTAGCGAAATGATACCATTATCAAAAAAACTCTCTCATGAAATTATACACATCCTTCTCAAACAAACTCCAGAATTGTTTCAAGAACCGAAACGTAAATATGTCAGGCCCTGGAGCCCTATCACTCCCACACTCCCACACAACATCCCTAATTTCATCATCCGAGAAATAAGCTTGTAAGGACTCCACCTGGACTTCATTAAGTTTTTTGAATCGAGCACTAGGAGTAACCATGTTGACCACGCTGTAATGCTTTAATTTGCTTTTGTAAAACTCTAAAAATGCCTCCTTAACGCTATCTGGGTTAGTCACTCAAATACCATCCTACAAGATTCCTTTAATAGCCATCTGTTTTCCTTTTCTTTTTAGCATACCATGGAAGAAATTAGAATTCTTGTCTCCTTCTATCACCCACTTGACCTTAGCCTTTTGAACATAATCCAAAGTATCCGCCTTATCAATATCCGACACCTGTTGGAGAATATTCTTTCTCTCAGCCATGACATCATCTGAAACAACCCCACTATCAATCAGATTAATATCGAACAACCGATTAATACACTCTTTTCTTTGTTCCCCTTTCAACTTACGCATATCAGCTTGCCAACCCTTAATCTTGGCTTTAACGAATTTAAGTTTTTTCTTCATATTAATACACTTATTTAGATTACAATATGGACTAAAATCTCTAACCGCTTGAGAAACCACATCGGAAAAACAATCCATCTGAAGCCACGAGTTAAACAGCTGAAAAGAAATAGGACCATAACCATTCTGATTCTCCTTTAGAAGCACCGTGCAATGGTCTGACCACCTCCTATCCAATGCAATACAAGAGTTATTGGGAATAACATCTAACAAACTTTCAGAAATAAGGAATCAATCCAAACGACTAAGCTTAGCACCAGCCTTATCCACTCGAGTAAGAGCCCTTATTTTTACAAGGTTAACCCGAGTCAATCTGGTTTCTTGAAGACCAATAAAATTGACCAAATGACTATTACAAATCTACTTAACGCCCGAAACCAGGTGGCTTCGAGATACTATAACTACTCCTTTGATCCTCTGACTGCATGTTATCAAGGTCAATTCTCTTAGATGAACCGGAAGCAATACCCACCAATGGTACAGAAGCATTTGGAGGTTTATTCATCCCCATTTCATCATTACCAGCCTCATCACTTTTTCCCACCCCATGTACAGGTTCGGTTTCACTGTTAACTTCATTAACATTATCATCTTCATGGTTTTGATCATACTCCTCATTCTCCTTATCTGAATTTAAACCAAAAGACTCATCTTCTCCTTCATCAAACGATCCAATGAAATTGTTGGATTCCTCAACAAAACTACCATCATCTGTCATATCAGGTTCCCATAGTGCCACTTCTTTCACATAAATTTGGTAATCTTTGCCTTCAATATTCACCCATACTGATTCTTGAATACTCGCCATAACCCCAGTCAACACACACACTTTTCCAGCAGACATGCAGTTACTTTCATTATCATCTGAGAACAATATTGATCCCCATATATCGCGAAGCAATCCTCTTGAAAACACATGGGTTCCACGCACACATAGGTAACCCAAGGATTTCCAACCAAACAGCTCTTTGTGAGATAACAAAATCTTTAGTTATACACCAAAACTTACAAAAAATATTCTAGATACCAACATTAAAAGAAAAGTTCTTACAAGCTTTTGTAGAATCGAATGACACCAATACCCACATCCTACCTACATAACGAATCTTGACAACAGAAAATCCTTCCTCAGAGCATAAGTTTATTAAATTCGATATTGAAGTAGCTTCCCTTACTTCCGCAAGCACTATCGATTGGACATTACTCATGCTTGACAGTTCTCTGCCACCTATTTTTACCTTCCGTATCGAACTGGTATTCTTAGGTTCGCTGTTCATGTCCCCCACAACAACCTTGGCATGAAATTTCTTTATCTGCCATTCTCCATCTTTCCAATCACTCATTTTCTATTTCTGTTTAGCATCAGTTTGCTCATACCCTAAGTTGGACTTGCTTTGGCTCTGCCTATTAAACTTAGATATTGATGCAAAAACATGATAATTTCCAAACCATAACTCCTACAGTCTCCTTTCTAGTTCCTGATTATTTTTTACTTTAATAAAATGTACAAAACCAAATCGTCTACCCATGGTAGATCGCTTCTGGGCAATAAACACATCCACGACATTCCTAAGTTTCTCACATGCATGCCATAATTCTCTTGGTTGTAGGTTAGGAGGAAGATTAGTAACATATAATGAAATTGCAATTTTACTTATTGTATCTGCATTTGATAAGTAGCATCCACCTCTATTGTTCATCTGGTCTCTGTTACTATTTGAATATAAACCTGTTCTTCGGTCATTCCTTCTTCCTACATGTCACCATTGTTCCTCACGTTGCTTGGATATACTAACGACACTTCCTACACAATTGCTCTACAAAACCCCAACCCCCACCCCAATAGACTCCCCTCATCGAACGAGAATGGAATCGATAGGAAAAGCTACCAGAAAATTAGAAGTCAACGCTGACAAAAGGCACGATCGTAGGGTTCATATTGCCAGAAATTATTATGTACATTCCTATATGGAGTTATGTCCTCAGAAATAGAAAGCTCATCCATTTCGAACCTTAAGTATCCTGTTGCTTCCTCCTAGGATGTCCTCTCCCCCTTCTACCATTAGTATAACTCTATTATCCATATGGTTGATGATGGTTGCCTATTTTGGACATGTCCATACCATCTTAATCGTTATTCCTTCAATTTTTTTTGCATAGTGCCACACCCAATAAATCATTGATAAGTATGTTCGGTGTTCTATCTAGCAAACTTTAACGTAGGCCCATCTCAACATCCTCATTTTTGCTACCTCCATCTTCCTCTCGTGTTCCTTATTGCTTGACCAAAATTACGAACCTATGTCATGGTAGGCCTAACCTATAGTATGTAAACGTTCTCCTTTAGTTTCAACATAAACTTTTAGTCACATAAAACTCCTAATGTTACACTTCACTTTAACCAACATGTATTTATACGATGAATGACGTTTACCTATAACCATCCCTTATGCATCATAGACCCTAAATACTTGGAGATCTCTTTCGGGAAAAGAATTTGCTCCTATATACTTATGTCTACTCCTTCATCATTCGACTCTCCACTAAAATTATAGCATAGATACTTTATTTTCACAATCTTAATTCGTAGCCCTTTCTCTATTATCGTTTTTATCCATATGTCTAACCAAGCATTCAACTCAATCCAAGACTTGGCACCAACACAACAACATTGACAAAGAGCACACACCAAGGAACTTCACAATGGATTTTGTGAGACATATCATATAAGATCAAAGAAAAGAAATACAAATTGAGAGCCAAACCTAATTGAATCTTGTTTCTGCAGAAAATTTGTTTGTGTCTCTGACTGTGGTCTGAAAGTAGGTCATAGTCCTACAATACATATCATGAAAGCAAAAACGTATCTACTTAGGGATCTCTCTAGCTTCCAAGATTCTCCAAATTGCATTACGGTGTACATTATCATACAATTTCTCTAGTTAGATGAAAATCAAATGAAAATCCTTATTTTTCGCATCAATCGTGGACCTCCCACACAAGAAGCCAAGTTAGTTTTTCTAAAATCGTTGTGATGTTATACAACTTAGTCTTGAAATACTATCTCCTATAGTTTTATGATAATTTGTATAGTCTTCATGCATACGATGGGTTTTGAGCATTCTAACACTCTTATGGTGTACATGCAACCCTATAAACCTTGGATCTATGTTTTCTCTATTATACATGTAAATATTCAATATTCCAAGGTTTTATTCTAACTAGCATAATATGAAGCAACTATACTACAAAAGCCTAGTTAGATAACATACCTTTTGATGTAGCTTGAAGTCTTGAGCTTTAAGAGCTTAGCCCCAATAGTGTGGAAGCCTTAAGTGGAATCACAAATCACCAACAACACCTTGGAAAACTTGAGAGAATAGTAAGCCCACTAGAAATTGACACACTCTTGTTTTTCACACACTAGTGTCATTTCATGTGCTAAAGACCTTTTTATATAGTATGGAGGATTAGGGTTACATTCATGTAAACCGTAATACCCATGACCTTTCATTTCCTTAGGAACCATGGGTTAGAAACTTCATGGACTATCCAAGCAAGCTTAGCCCAACCTAAATTAACTTGGCCCATCCTATATATAAGAGTCCATATATAATTAGTTCCTTTTTGATAACTAAATTAATTCTAAATTAATTCTTGATCAATACTAATTAAATAATATGATTCTATATTAATATATTAGAACTTATAATATATTAATATAAATCACAAGCATACTATTCTTTAAAGACTATCCATATAATTTGTTCCAGTGAAGTGGAACCCAAACGGACCATGCTACTCTCGAGTCGAATAAATACCAATAATAGTTATGGGCTTAGACATCTAATCCAACAGTCTCCCACTTGGATAAGTCGAAAACTATTAATGCATATGAATCAAAGATCCTGACTAGCAATCGTAGCTCTTAAAGCCGCTGCCGAACTCTGACCTAGTCAAATGACTTGTCCATTAGATAAGGGATCATATATTCCTCTATTCTAGATATCATATGGACTGAGACATGGATTATAATCATCCTCTTTTTCCATTTGTTGTTTCCTGATTTCCGATTTATGACGACTGACTAATTGAACAAATCAAATCAGTCCACACTTAGCCAAACACTTAGGGGTGGCATCACTAAATCATCGAGGGCCCCACAGATATCGCTTTTATCCCTCCAAGGGTAAAAGGAATGGATAAACTTCGACTCATATGCTTGTCCAACTACTTGTTAAATCATACACAAAGGCACATTATATAACATCAAGTTACTGATGCATTTTCATGTAATCAATGTATAACCAACTCATAGTCAACAAGTCATATCTCTAGTTTTGAAGAATATAAGATATTATCGTCTCATGATCACTCGTGATAAATCCATGAAATGATTCAAATGAGCGTGGGTTTAATCCAATACTCAGAACTTATGAGAACCCATGAATATTGTAGTAACTCTTGCTATGTCTAACACCTTAGACATCTACAAACCAACTTCATGACAATATTGCCTTAATACCTACTTCTAACGTATTATTGACTGTGGATGGTTTGAATAACTTAGTCATTCGGGAATAATGACCTAGTTATTTTGGAAGTCAAAATATGCAAAGTGAAACACAAGAATAACTGAATCCAATATGGTCTTAGAACTTATGAATATAAATAGAACACCTTTTATTTATCACCATATTGGTTACACATTATTCATTGTATTATAATGTTTCAACTAATCAACTCTATACTTGAATCAAAACAATAGTCATGCCATGCTCTAAGCATGCACACTAGGTTTATCCAAACAATAGTCATGTCATACACCAAGTATGCACACTATGTTTGTCCAAACATTAGTTATGCCATACACCAAGTATGCACACTAAGTTTGTCTATGATCTTTACTTTATGAAGTAGATCAACTGAACATAATTCCAATGATTCTCATTTCACAATCCCAAATCCTTATCGTAAATGTAAGAATTCCAAATTCCTACCATTTACTGAAATTTGTTATATTTTAAACTTATATGCACTGATCCTCTTGTAATGATTATGCATAAAGTCACAAAGACTTGTCAATAGTAATTACAGACTATTCCAATGGAGATCAACTCCACGGAAACGAAGGCTCATATTCAAAGTACATTCCGTTGAACATCCTTCTTGCATTAAGTTTTCTAATCTTACACAGATTGAATAACTTGATGGGTTTTGGTCCTAAGAACTGTTGGGTTATGAGCATTCTAACACTCCTAAGTGTACATGCAACCCTAAATACCTTGGATCTATGTTTTCTCTATTATACATGCAAATATGAACATCCAAGGTATTATCCTAATCTAGCATACAAACTTATCAATATAACAAGATAGAATACATACCTCTTTGATAGTGCTTGTCTTCATGAAGCTTGAGTGCCTAGTGCCCCAAGTGTGACACCTCAAATGGTTCACACAACACCAAATACACTTGGAATAACTTGAGATAATTCTACACTTCATGAAAATCGGCTAGCCCTCTCTAGAATCATACTAGTGCCGATTTTGTCAAGAATAAGATCTTTATATAGTGTTACAATTAGGGTAAACCCTAATTGTCATGACTTTCCATTTCCTTGGATCCATGGGTTCAAATACACCATGGAGCATCCATGGACCATCCTATGGGTTTTAGCCCAACTTGATTATCCATGGAGCATTAGCCCACTATACAAGTATGGATGATTTACACAATCAACCCATATATTTAATTAGTCTTCTTTTGATCACTTAATTAATCCTAGATTAATTCTTGATCAATACTAATTAAATAATCTTATTATTCATATTATTAATATACTAGAACTTATAATATATTAATAACCATAAGTGTCTTATTTCTCTCATTTAGTCTATCCAAGTGCATGATGCCATGCAACCCAAATGGACCATGCCGGGTCGGGTCAAGTCTTACCAATTATAGTTATGGACTTAGACATTAATCCAACAGTCTCCCACTTGGATAAGTCTAAAACTATTATTGCGTATGACTTCAGGAACCAACTGGCAATCGTAGCTCTCAAAAGCTTCTGTCGAACTCTGACCTTGTCGATAAACTCTGACCTCTGTCAATGACTTGTCCATTAGATAAGGGATCATATATTCCTCCATTCTAGATAATATGGACTGAGACATGGATTATAATCATTCTCTCTGTCCATTTTTTGTTTCCCGATTTCCGATTTATGACGACTGACTAATTGAACAAATTAAATCAGTCCTGGCCCGGCCGACCACTTCCATTTGTCATCATCAAATCATCGAGGGCCCACAGATATCGCTTTTATCCCGAAGGTAAA